TCTTTCCCATAAAAGTAAAATAAAAATCCGTAGACGTTTCCAAAAGCATTATTCAGATGGAAGAGGAATTGGGGTATATACAATAGAATTTGAGTTTGATATTCATCAATTGCTGTGGTTATAATGTTAATTATTGATTAAAAAAACAATTTGGTGGAAAAAGTATAAAAAAAAAAGTTTAGAAATGCAAAGTTTATTATATATATAAATTAGTATTTTAGAAATATGCGATGCACATGTTAAATTTTATTATAGATTTAAATATAACTTTTGTTTTTGTAGTTTATTTTTGTTTCACTCTTAATCCTTATAATATTTTTTTTTTATTGTTTCATCCTGATTTTTATAATATTTCATAAATAATTCTTATTGTCAACTTTCATTAAAAAAAAATCTCGTGTGACAAATAGAATACTTATTATATTCATTATGTTATATTTCATTATTGTCACATAGATAAATTAATTTTAATTTTTTTAGACAACTTTAAAACGTACTTTATTAATGTTATCTCATCATAACTCTTTCGGACCCGGTGAAAAGTCGCATCATGATTGTTGTTAGTGGCAAAGTTGGACCACTGACCTCCCTTTTTTAATGAAGTGTCTCACTTATCATTGTTGTGACGGTCGTGGTAAGTGACAACAATCTTGATGATCTTGAGTACTCAATCAATATAGTTCTTCTCGGTTTTAAAAGAGGTAACTTTGATAATGACACTAGCAAAGTGGATATCACTCTTTCAACGCATGAGCTCTTATGAGGAAGTATCCAATCAAGAGGTTGAACTTCTCAATGGTGAGGTGACGATCAATAACAGCGTCATAAAGGTGGTAGTTATTGAAGGTGAACTCAACGCTATTATCGAAATTGTGAATTTTGAGAAATTGTTCCTCATCGAGAAATTAGGATTTAGATTGAGGGATTTAAGATTTTTAGTGTTAAAATTGAATCAGAAAGAAGAAGTGTAATCATGAGGGTGAAGGTGAAGGTTTGGGTATAGTGAAGTACATTTTAAAAATTTCTAAATAAAATTTAAAATCAATTTAACTACGTAACAATAATGAAGTGAAATATATTGAATATCATATGTATTTTATTTACCATGCATGTAAGATTCTTTTAATAATAATTAACAAAAATGATTATTTTTTAAATGTTATAAAAAGTTAGGAATGAAAACAACAACAACAAAAATTACAGAAATCAAAATTAAAAATTATAGGAATAAAAATTATATTTAAACCTTTATCTATAACAACATATAAAGGATACTTCATTTTGATGTTCACTTTTTCATAGATAATTATATTTCTTTTTTCGTCTAATATATATTTAAAGATAAAATAAGAATATATATATATATATATATATATATATATATATATAATATTGTA